AGGATTCGCGCTCACATTGGGGGATGTCTCCGGCAGCTCGCTCGTTTCTGCCCTCCCTCCCCCCTCCCGGATTTTTTGTTGTTTTCCAATGTTCACCAACATATAACAGGCATGGCACAGGGTTTGCGCTCAGATCGGGGGGATATTTCAAGTGGTTTGCCAGTTTGTGCCTGGAGACGTCGCTTTGGATTCGTGTGCTCCCCTCGCACACACAGATTTTGTCGCCTAGTCAATCTCCTTCGCCCCTTCTCTTATCCACTTCCGCAACCTTTCGCAGTCGGACTCATTCATCAGCCCAGATTCACTCATCACACTCAGGGTCGCTTAAATTCATAACCGATCCTACTCGGACTAACAGATACTTTTTCGTTCATGCTCAGAGTCGCGCAGATTCAGACTCACTCACACACAGACCAGCTCACGTTCAGACCCACTCATTCTCAGACGCACCAGCCCCCAGACTACCTCATACGCAGTTACAGGATTGTATTCATCACACTCAAACTCAGACTCACCCGCACGCAGCCTGACTCAAACTCAAACCTATCGGCACGTAGACTATCACATGGAGTAAGTCCAGACTCGCTCATACTCATATTCAAGCCTACCCAGATTCACTCACACGTGGACTCGCTCGCACTCTGATCGCCCACGCTCAGAGGCACTCGTGTGAAGCCTCAAGCGCACATGGCTACCGCGATACAGCCAGCGTGGCATTTGGGCACCCAACGCCAGCATTCGCGACGCCATGCGCGCTTGCGTGAGTCGCTGCGGGGAGAACGGCCGGAGCCTCCCCCTCACTCTTTCACTTGTGGTCCCTCGCCCCTCGTCATCCATGTGAAGATGTGGAGGAGAAGGAGGAGGAGGACGAGGAGGAGGAGGAAGAGGAGGTCACTGCAGTCGTCGTTGTCGTCGTCGTTGTCGTCGTCGCTGTTGTTGTCGTCGTCGGAGGAGGGGGAGGAGGAAGAGGAGGAGGAGGAGGAGGAGGAGGAGGAGGTCACTGAAGTCGTCGCGGTCGTCGTCGTCGTCGTCGTCGTCGTCGCCGCGCCTGTTGTCTACGCGGACTCGCCTTCACATTCAGATACTCATAGACAGAGTTCCTGAACGAGACGTGACAGGAGTATGTGATGCTCACATGGGGATCTCCGCGTCGAGTAATTACTCCTGCCGCGTCGTCTCTTCCCCGGCCTGTCTCCTTTTCCCCACACTCTCACTCGCACTCACATTCGCACTCAGACTCATATTCGCACTCACACTCACATTCGCATTCACGCTCGCACGCACACGCACACTCACACTCACATTCATCGTTCATTCCAACACACACAAACACTCACACCCACACTCACACCCACACTCACATTCACACTCACACTCACACTCACACCCTCACACGTTTCTTTCATATCGGCGGCTACTCAGAGTGACTGCGCTGGCTGAAGAGCTCTCACACGCACACTTAAACTCACACTCGCAGTCACACTCGAACTCACACGCGCACAAGCACACACACACTCGCATTCACATTCACATTCACATTCGCATTCACAACCATTCAGCACAGTCAGACCCACTAGCACCCAGACTCGCTCCTACTTGTACCTACTCACACTCAGACTCACGCATACGCGCACCTATACGCAGACTCTATCTCGCTCAGGCTCACTCACATTTAGACCTTTCCACAAAGGACCCACTCGCCAGCATTCCGGCTCAACCGCATCACTTCCTCAATCGGATTCGTTCGAAGTCAGAAGTACTCACGCATACAGATTGGGGATTCCCCGGGCGAGCCTCTGTTATCAGCACCCCAAGGGGGGAGCCGCCAGGAGGCATTGCACGAGCCCAATCGCGCCCAGATCGTGGAGATGACTTCGGTGGTTTGCTATTTCGGATGCGTTCAGAGCGGGCTGTGAGGGTGTCTCAGGCGAGGCGCTGGTGTCAGCATCCTGAAGGGGAGCTGCCAGGGGGTATTGCGAAGGTCCGTGCGCGCCCAGATTGTGGGTATGTCTCAGGCGGTTTGCCTGTTTCGGCCGCCCAGGCTTGTCTTTAGATTTGTGTTACCTTGACGCCTCCAGATCGCACTCGCTCCCTCACCCCCGTGTTTTTGTGAAAACATTTACACGCAGAGTTGCCCGCTCAGACGCACTCACCACACCCGGAATCAACCATACCAAGAGATATTCATACCTAGGCTACACAGGCTCATTCACATTCAGACTAACTCACACTCGGACTTATTCTCATTCAGGTACACCCACTGTCAGAGTCACTTGTGCTCAAGCTTGCTCATACCCAGACTCATTTCTATTCAGTCCCATACGCGTTATACTCATACTTAGGCTCACTCACATTCAGACTCACTCAGACCCGCCTACTCTCATATTCACTCGGAGTCACACTGACTCGTATCCAGATCCACTCAGTCTCAGACGCATACCCATCTATTAATCTTTCGAACCAAGTCACACTCAGACTCTCCTACACTTAGACTCAGTCGCACTTAGACTCACTCATACTCAGACTTGCGCATGCTCAGAACCAGTCGTACTCAGACCTGTCTTACCTAGACTCACTCAAACTCACACTCACCCTCAACCATACTCAGGTTTACTCACACTCAGACCCACTCGCACTCAGATCCCTCATGCTCAGATTCACTCAATCTTCTCTTTTTTTGGGTGGTCCAGTGCCCCCTCGCTCTTCTACTCGTGCTGCTCTCATGTCTCCCGAATGGTGCCCAGAGGAGGACGATGGCGTTGTTGTCGCGCCCGTCGTCACGCTGGTTCGCTCCCACACCCAGATGCTCACAGGCAGAGTTTCCCAGCGAGACGTGGCAGGAGGACGGGGTGCACGCATGGCGATGTCCGCGGCGAGTACTTTTTGGTGTTCGCTGCTGCGCAGCGCTTTCGCCAGGGGCGCTACTGTTTTCCCCCGGCTACAGTGCCAGCTCCCCGCGCGCCCACGGTACGTGTGGGGCGGGGGCGCGCCTCGACGGAGCGAAACCACAACAAAGTCTCAGGCGAAACCAAAGCAACGTCTCAGTATGAGCCACAACAAAGTCTCAGGCGAAACCAGATCAAAGTCTTCGTATGAGCCACAACAAAGTCTGAGGCGAAGCCACATCAAAGTCTTAGACGGGGGGGGGGTGTGTCGGGCGAAGCCACAACAGCATCCGAGGCCGCAGGGGGTGTCGTCACCCGGAAGGTTTGGTGCCGTTGCCGCGTCGTGGCCTCCGAGGTCTGAGTCTTCAGGAAGTCTCGAGGAAGTCTCGAGGAAGTCTCGAGGAAGTCTCGAGGAAGTCTCGAGGAAGTCTCCAGGAAGTCTCCAGGAAGCCTTCTTTGTGGGCGCGTCTCGAGGAAGTCCAAGGCGGGAGCGCCCTTGTTCCCCTTCCCCCCCCTCCCAGAGGCCACCCGAAGCCTGTCACCGCCGTCGGTTTTCTGCTTCCGAGGCCAGATTTCTGTTGAGGAAGTGGGCGGGGGCCTTGTGAGTCTGAGGCGGGGGCGCTCCTCCTCCCACCCTGCGCGTTTCTTTTCGTCTCATGGGGAGGGGGCGGAACGGAGCGAGGAGAGTACTTTCGGACAAACCAAGGGGATGCTCATGCGGTGTCGTACCGTCGGAGTAATTCTTGCATTTCGGGGCCCTTGTGGACGAACCCTCGGAGGTTTTTGGGGCGTCGTCGCGTTTTTGGGTGGCCGCCCGGTGGCCATGTAGAGCGTCTGGGGGCGGCTCCAGAAGACTGCCTTGAGGGGCCGCTCGGGGGCGCTTCTTGGTCTTCTTTGGCGCCTGCCCGGATGAGAGAAGCGCGTGCGCAGTATCGCGCGCATGGGGCCCCTGGAGGCGTGTCTGAAGCCCAGGTGGATGGAAGAACGTGGGGCCTGGGTCCAAGTCTGGGGTTTGCGGACCGACGACTCGAGAGGACGCGCGGACATTCTTAACGGGTGCCTCGCGGCGCCGTGGCGGACTGTCGCTACAGAGGGGGTGGGGGCTCCACTTGCAGCCTGGGAGTCGGGTCTGTCTCCTACCCCTGGGCGGCCTGCTTTTTCGGCGCTGCCTTCTGCATCGTGGTGCGTCGGGATGGCTAACTGGGCGGCTCGCTCGAGACATATCTGTCCTTTGGTCCCGAAAAGGCAGGCGCCCCTCCTCTCCCCCCTTCTTTCCAGCGGCTTCCTGGACCAGGAGCACCAGTGACACGCACATCCGCTACATTGCGGTGGTTTTAGTGCCCTCACAGCAAAGAGGCGTTGCGGCTGCCAAGCGGGCGTCTGGCTGGAGGCATCTTTGCAATCTGGCGGCGAGCTTGCAAGTGCACCCTTCTCTGGCGGCTTCTCTTTTTGGGGCTCCAGAAACGCTGGCTACGTAGCAGTGGTCACGGGGCCCTCACAACGGACGTGTCGTCGGCGTCTCTTTCACGGGGTGCCCAAGTGCCACGCCTGCCGTGCCAGTGGTCATGGGCTCGCACGTGGCCGGCCGAGGTGTACGCGCGAGATCTTCTCGCCGACGCTTCGAGACTGGCGCCGGCGGGGTCGCGGTGGTTGTGGTTCCCCGCTCCTCCAGGGTGTTTTTTCGAACGCTTCCTCCACTGCGCGACGAGATGCTCGGGCCGCCGATGCTTGGCGTGAGCGATCTGGAACTTGGGCGGCATGTCTGTCCTCCGCTCACCTCCCCTCCTCATCATCTTCTCTTTGTCTCTGCTAACTGTGAGAGCCTGGCGAGTCCGCCCACCTCGTCCGACACAGGGCAAACGACAGACAGAGGGAGAGAAAGAGCGCCCGGGAAATCCGGACGCCCAGAAAAGCTCGACAGGACGCCCCAGCTTCTCAATCGACGCTACCCCCGCAAGATACTCGCCATTTCTGGCACCTGTTCCGCCACGCATCATCTGCATCTGCACAAATTTACAGTCCCCCATCGCTATGGCTAGTGACACCTCTGTCGTCGTCGCTATCGCGATCGACATCACTGGCGATGTCACCACCGCTACCGCCATGTCACACCTGGGCCCAAGCCCAGCTGTTCGACGGCGTACGCCGTCGTGGTGGTGGGGGGCCAGACATCCGACGATGTGCTTTTCAATTCGCAGGCCCCAGAGGTTCCATCATATCGGGGCGTTGCACTAGGCCGTTTTCCGATCCCCAGGGCCGTTCTCACAGAGCGCGTTCCACTACTCGCAAAATTCCCACTCGCAAGCGTAAGAAAAGCACGCGTTCAGCTCGATGTAATGGACTGTAAATCCCCCGCTGCCAATCCATGCCATTTGCGAGTCGTTATTTTGCGAGTAGTGGAACGCGTATGTCTACGTCCGGAACCGACTCAGGATGAATAGCTGGATCTGGGGAAGAGTTCGAGATCCTCAGAGTCCCACGTCACGACCAAAGTGTTGCGTCGGGCAACGAGAGGGCAGGTCCCAAACCCAGATTCATATCCTGGTGTTCCCAGTGAGGCAGTTCTTATTCCGGGCCAGGTCCTGGTGGTCACAGGGCTCGTAGAGAGGCTCCCAAAGGCCGAGGCGAGGGAGGAAGTCGCCAGGCTGAAACAAAGCAGTCCGCCCGAAGTCTAGGATCCAGGCATCCTCTGATCCCTGTCTGGGGGGTAGGTTTGTGTCCGTGGTCCATTCCTAGTTCCTGGGGCCCGGAAGCGGCCCCCTGCGGCCGAAATGAGGGACCCCACCCCCCCTCTCGATCGAAGAACCAGATCGTCAGAGGTCTGGGGAGTCGCGCTGCGGCCCGATGGTCGAGGTGTATATCCCGGAGAAGGCCGACGGCGCGAACAAATTGGGGTGCCGTGGGGGAGGGGGGGGCGGCCTTTCGAAGCCCCTGAGCGCCTTGAAGAAGGCCCCTGCCTTCTAAGACTCGTTTGGACCATGTGGGGATGCACACACAGCGTCCGCGTTCGAACGCAGCACCAGGGTTGTTAACAAATCCCCCCCCCCTCCCCCTGCTGTGCCTTCCTCCTCCCCCCTCTTCCCCCCTCCCTCTCCCTCCGCTCCCTCGTGGCTGGTGCTCCGCGTGGCGGAGTCCCCTTCTCCCTCGGTGGGAACGCTGGCACTCTTTTCGTCCTCCGCGCTGTGGGTTGTGTGGGTGGAAACAATTCAAAGATGCCCTCCCCGCCCTTTGGAAGGCCGCCCCCCTCGCGCCTCGCACCGGTGCGCGCCGCCAGCCCGAGGGCATCGCTGGGCGGCTCGACCTGGCGAGGCGGCAGGCGGACGAGGACGACCTGCCGGACGACCTCCTGCTTCTCCGGGAGCTTGAGGAGCACCGGCGCCATCCATCTGCGCCGCACAGCGCCCTGGCCCCTTCGCCTCGTCCCCCCCTCGCTCCTCCTCCTCGTCCTCGTCCTCCTCGTCAGCCCTCGCTCGCATCTGCGGGCCGACCTTCGTGACATGTTCCTGGCGCTCTGACGCGCCGGCCAGCTTACTTCCTTGTGCTCGCGCCGAGCTTCTTAAGTTCCTCTCGCCGCTTGTATCCTTTGCTTATCATGCTGCGTATTGACACAGGGAACGCTTGACAATCTACGCACTGCCCGTCCAGACATCTCCAAGGCGTGCAACAAGAATCGGCGGACGGTGTCTGGTCGTTTTTTTGTTTGGATTCTGGAGACCCTCGCCGGGCCCCGGGACCGTCAGGGGACACCCCAGGAGGAAGACGTGGTCCACGGGAGGAGGGCCAGACCTCCGTGGAGCCCACAGCAAATCCACGAGCGATGCATGCCTGCAGTAAACCAGTCCGCCGTCGCCGCACAGCCGGTGCGATACGGAGTCTCCTTCAAAAATCGCAACGGGGCTCCGCTGGTGAGGCAGACGGGACGGCGAGGGAGGGGAGCGAGGAACCAGAGGGCGAGGCAGGGGAGCGAGGGGGAACCCATTTCTGTGGTGGCCTCGATGCAGACCCGCTCGCCTCGCGAAGGAGGCGACCCGCTCGCCTCGCGAAGGAGGCGTGCAGGAAGGTCTCTGGGCACCCTCGGCCTCTCGGCTGCCCTTGGCCGTGGGCTCCGGGGCCGCCGTGCCCCGGCCGGGGGCGAGCTGCTGGCTCTCGGGAGTGGGGCCCCGTCCTCCGAGGGGCCCGCGCCGCGGAGCAGAGCGCGGCAGCGGGGGGGTCTGGAGGGGACCTGCCGCTCGAGGAGCGGCGCAGGGTGGGCCTCGACCCGCCCACCAGTGGTTTCAGAGCCTGTTCTGCGGTGCACGTATCCATGGCACTCGCACACGTCAGTGCACAGTCACAGTGATAGTACGTATCCATGACACTCGCACACGTCAGTACACAGTCACAGTGTTAGTACGTATCCATGACACTCGCACACGTCAGTACACAGTCACAGTGTTAGAAT